ACAATGAGGTTTTATATGTAAGATAAATAGAAGTAACCACCACAGTGAGGTTTTATATGATATGGTCTTTTTATTGGTTGTACCTAGTAAAATAGGTTGCGGTAACCACCAGGATGAGGTTTTATATGATAGGAGCCTTTTATTGGTTGTACCTAGTAAAATAGATTGAAGTAACCACCACAATGAGGTTTTATATGTAAGATAAATAGAAGTAACCACCACAGTGAGGTTTTATATGATATGGTCTTTTTATTGGTTGTACCTAGTAAAATAGGTTGCGGTAACCACCAGGATGAGGTTTTATATGATAGGAGCCTTTTATTGGTTGTACCTAGTAAAATAGATTGAAGTAACCACCACAATGAGGTTTTATATGTAAGATAAATAGAAGTAACCACCACAGTGAGGTTTTATATGATATGGTCTTTTTATTGGTTGTACCTAGTAAAATAGGTTGCGGTAACCACCAGGATGAGGTTTTATATGATAGGAGCCTTTTATTGGTTGTACCTAGTAAAATAGATTGAAGTAACCACCACAATGAGGTTTTATATGTAAGATAAATAGAAGTAACCACCACAGTGAGGTTTTATATGATATGGTCTTTTTATTGGTTGTACCTAGTAAAATAGGTTGCGGTAACCACCAGGATGAGGTTTTATATAACGAGCAATTTGTGTGTTATACTGTGGATTCATTTATTTTTGTGGGTATCAATTTTCGTGGATTGAGGAACACTTGCATTTTCGTGGATATTTTATTTCGTGGTTTTGCCAATCTCTGCATACAAATCCAAATTAACATTTGTAGTTCGTTGAACATTTGAATTCGTAGTTCACCTCTACCCACGAAACCCACGAAAATTGGCATCCAACGAATAATAATGAATCCACAGTACTTAGTAAAATAAATCGAGGTAACCACCACGATGGTTTTTTTCTTTATAATACAAGGAATGTATGGTTGTACTTATTAAAACAATAGAGGTTACCACCAGAATGAGGTTTTTTTTATAATAATTTTTAAAGCTGTATTCTATTTGATAAAGCTCCTTATTACAATGTTTATCACTATTTATTATGGAACCATATCGTCATTGTATAAATTCACGGGTGTCATTCGGTTTATCGAGAGTATTGATCGTGAAAGAATAACTAACGGTGGTCAAGCATTGCGATCAGAGCGTGAAAGATCTGGTATAGGATCGTGAATGAAATATTATCGAGAAGACACATGCTCCGTCAGTCAATAATCTTATTTGATCAATTATTATGAATAATATTGGAAAAATAAAACTGTCTGTCAAAATGGTTCAACATTCTGATTAGTATCCGAGAAAAATCAAGACTTAAATGTACACCGTTTTCACAAGACTACAAAAGGCAGATTGTTTTTCAAAATTTAAGAGAAATAAGAATGTAAACAAACATGATTTTCTTTCAAATTTTTAATGCATAAACTACTTTTCTCCTAGAAATATCGTTCAATATCACTGTTTGAAATAGTTCTTAAAGTTATTTTGATTTAGTTTATTCAGAAATTTTATAATTTAAAAACTGAAATCATCTCGTTTGTCATAGACTCTGGTATAAAAAGATGACCGCTGTAGTCAAATTCGGGGTATATGTCTAAAAATGATGCAGATGAAGCTGCATATGTGGTGTCTATAATATCTAGTTCAAGACTATTAATGGGACCAAATGAGAAAAGTTCGTATTGTTAATGGAAAGAACATCTTCAATACACCTGTGTGTAAAATTAAATGATAAAGCTTATTTGATCTAATATAAAATTATGAAGATGTGGTATGATTGACAATAAGACAACTCTGCACAAGAGACCAAATGACACAGAATTTAACAACTATAGATCATCGTATGGCCTTCAACAATGAGTAAAACCCATACAGCTATAAAAGGACACGAAATGACATTTGTAAAACAATTCAAACGAGAAAACTAACGGCCCGATTTATGTTCAATGAACGACAAACAAATATGATATAAACCAAAACGACAACCACTGAATTACAGACTCCTGAATTAGGACAGGCACCTACATAATGTGGCGGGGTTAAACTAGTTAGCGATTCTCTTTCTAACCCGGGACAGTGGTGTAACAGAACAACAATTGAACAAACTATAAAGATCAGTTGAAAAGGGCTTAACTCATCAGATCGATTCAAAGCAAAAACAAGTAACAAAAATACAGAGTGGACTTATACATCTCAATTACCTTTTCGAAAACAAAAACGCACACATTAAGATATTTCCGGTGGAAAACCACCAGACCCCCTCTCGCTTCCCTCATTTGTGGATGCATTATGTATACACAATATTGACCTTTCGATCATTTACGCTGATGTAGGTCTTATTATCTTGGATGCCTAGTTATGCGTAGCATTGCCTCATAAATGAAAAAAGGTCTAAATATGGGTAAAAATATATACATCCCCAACAAAATTTAACGCAATGATTTACGTTCTAAGAAAGTAATTACACACTTCAACCAATTACAAGTACATCAATTGGTAAAACAAATGCTGTTTTCTGATCATTAAGTCTGGTCACGCCTTGTCTTTCACGATCCAAATAATGCGTTGAATGATCTTTCACGATCAATTTTGATAAAAAATCAACAAAAAAAGAATTTTTCAAAAGTAATATGAACTTTTTCAAGTAATAACATACATATATTTTACTGGACTATCTGACATGTAAAGATTAAGTTTTAAACATATCATGATATATTGGAATGTGACTATAATAGTTACAAAACGTGATTTTTTTCTAAATGATTTTGATAGGATTGTGTGCCGCCTTTTGTGTTTTCTTAAAAAGCACTGCATTTTTTTCATTTTTTAAGTGCAGTTTTATTAAGGACGTTAAATAATTTTGACAGACATATATTTTTCTCTAATTTGTTCCACCTTTTGAAACTACAACAGATTGTTTCATAGATTTTGAAGTAGAATTACACTTAATATCATTCACGATCCGATACCAGATCTTTCCCGATCTGATATCGCAATGCTTGACCACCGTTAGTTATATTCTTTCACGATCAATTCTCTCGATAAACCGAATGACACCCGTGAAATTGGACTTATTTTATAAAGTATACAGTTGTCAATTCAGTTATTACTTCTTGTACTGGTTATTAATCACGGATTAATCCTTTTTACACTTTGTGTTTTGTGACTGGCGTAAGTCTGGAAAAAAAAACTCGTTACTAAGTGTAGTACTATCTTTTTGTGGAAGGTGTTTGCGAGTCTGAAATATTGATTGCTAATATGGTTTGTGTTACATTTTATACACTGCATTTACAAGTTTACTTGACGGCTCAAAGCTTTACAGGAAGGTGTAGACATCTGCTAGTTGTTGAAGACTGAGATGTATTACTTCTAACTGTATTTTGTTTGATTGTGCTGTTGTTTTGATATCTCATGCTGTTGGCAAATAATTTTTTGTCCTTTTCTGTTTTTGACATTATTTTCGTCTTATGAGTTTGAATTTCCCTTTGGTATCTTTCTCTTCTATTTGATGCATAGTTATAAACATAATCACATGTAGTTATAAGTCCGGATACATACACACTTGTTAAAAAAACATGCGATATGAAAAAAGGGAGATGTAATGTGATTTCCCATTGATACAACTATTCACTAACCAAATACTTATAAATACGTTAATCAACACAACTGAAGAGCACATATTGGATTTCAACAATCACAAGCAATAGTTCAATGTGTATAGCTTTGTCTGGTAGTGTTCATCTAACCTTGACCAATTTAAATGCTTCATTAGGCAAAGTGGCTTCGATGGCCAAGTGGTCTAAGTAGTTGAACTACTGTATCACTAGTCTGTAAACATAGAAGTTGCGAGTTCGAATCCCGTGTGTGGCAGGTGGGCTCCACTCCAATCTTAATTGACTACGATTGTCAGTTTTCCAACCGAAGGTCTGTGGTTCTATACGGGCACTCAGGCTTCCTATACCAACAAAAACTGACAGCCACGAAATAGCAAAATAGTGCTGAAAGTGGTTTTCAACACCAATCAATCAATCCACAGGCAATTTAAAGTTTCCATAGTGATGTTTGTTACTTAGATTCTATAGGCAATAGGTCAACTGTACTATATTCAATGATTGGAATGATAGTAAGGTGTACTGTCTATCTGGCAGGATTCATATGTCGTCGACCTCATTTCCATGGTTAATTAGGCCATGTAAATTTCATGGTTATGTTTGTTTATTAGATACTGTAAACAATAGGTCAACTATATTTGGTGTATGGAATAATCGTATGGTGAACATGTTGTTCAGCAGGGTTTATCTGAGCTTGACCTTATTTTTAGGGTTTAATTTTCGTAATTAGGTCTGTTTCTTGGATACCATAAGCAATATGATAACTATATTTGGTCAATTGTATGGGTGTAAGGTGTACATGTTTGCCTGATAGGGTTCATCTGGCCTTGGCCTCATTTACATTGATAATGTTAGGTTTATCAGGCCCATAGCCAGGAATTTCCAAGGGGGGGTTACATGGACTCATGAAGCTCACTTTAACAGTTACAATTCAAACAGAATGTCGACTTTAACAGTGCTTATTTGTTTTCAAGGGGGGTTCATACCAACCCCTCGAAGCACCCCTGGCTACGGGTGTGTTTATGTGGAACTAATGGTGAAACTTTCATATCACACACTTTCAACATCAATTCAATGATAAGTAAAGCAGGCCAGACATTGCAGTGTGTGCACTCTTGTTTACTTGTAGCAAGAAAACGAGTTTAGTGACACTATTTTTACTTCTAGATTTCTAAAAGCACATAATAAAACATTTTGAAAAAAAATCTATCTATAGATTTTTTTCACAAAAATGTGTTTTCCATGAATGCAAAGTATAAGAAATTCCATCTGAGGAAATCATTAGTGCTGATCTACATTAAACTATTTCTAAGAGTTACTGATTTATCATATGAACAAATAAATATGTCGATATAGAAAGTTGACTATACCTTTTTTATTCAATTAGCATGGAAGAAAATAAACTCCATGCCATATTTGCACAATAATATTCAGTCATTCATTACTGTCCGATATTGAGATGACAACCATACTTTGTTACATAAATTTCGAGTATAAAAAGATAAGTCACATTTTTATTAATTTTCATATAAATTTGACCACCACTTTATTTAACTATCAAAACCAGATTTGCTTGCCTGATAATGTATGTTTCACAAGATTACATTTCCATGTAGTGAGCTGTGATATCATAGTCAAAATTTTAATTTGGAATATATCTTAGAATTTCACATCTTAAGGTAGCTCGGGTGTCTTCCTCAATCTTGGATTTTAAAATAGCAGATAACAATTGGTCTAGATCTTTAATGAAGTATGCAAATTTGAGAGTAGTATGTAATTCATGTGTAAGACAGAGAATATAAATAACATCTTTTCAATAAGAGAACAGCATAATTTTTAACTGTGTTTATAGTCATATATTCAATAGATCAAACAGTGAATACATTTTATAAGGTGACATTTTAAATTTATAAATTTGAAAATATGTACATTCAAGCTATTCACCTTTATCAGTGTGTTTATCCAATATCATACATAAGTATATTTCTAATTCTACCTCTCACCTTAGCTTTATAAAACGCATGTAAGATTAAGTTATATCATGTATATCTTATATAGGAGCAGGACCAGTGTTTATATTTATATTGCATAGGTTTATATAAATCATATTCTTTTCTAAAAGGAAAGTTTAAGTGCTTGATTAGGGCCTCAATAGCAAGTCCAATATTTCAAAATGAAAAGCGTTTCAAGTTTTAGAAAAAACACATATGTGAATAAATTGGGAATGTGTCCATGGGACACAGATGATGCCCCCACTTGCATATAACAGTATATAGGGACATAACTCAAGAACAGCAAAAGTGAGGCTACCCAAATTTGTACTTGATCTGAGTTTTGTGGTAATAAGCATTGTGTATAAGTTTCATAACATTTGGTTGAGGCAAACTTAAGTTAGAGAATGGAAACAAAAAATTCATCAATTTTTCCATTTGTAAAGGGGCATAACTCAAGAAAGGTAAAAGTGACACCACCTAAATTCAAACTTGATCTGTGTTTGGTGGTAATAAGCTTTGAGTATAAGTTTCCTTAACGTTTGGTTGAGGCAAACTTAAGTTAGAGAATGGAAACAAAAAAATCAGCAATTTTTCAATTCGTAAAGGGCATAACTCTAGAACGGTAAAAGTTACGCCACCCAAATTCAAACTTGATCTGTGTTTTGTGTTAATAAGCTTTGTGTATATATAAGTTTCATAACATTTGGTTAAGGCAAACTTAAGTTAGAGAACAGAAACAAAAAACACAGCAATTTTTCCATTTGTAAAGGGGAATAACTCTAGAACGGTTGACGCCACCCAAATTTAAACTTGATCTGTGTTTTGTGGTAATAAGCATTGTGTATAAGTTTTACAACATTTGGTTGAGGCGAACTAAAGTTACAGAACGGAAACCAATTTTGGGACGTACGGACGCACAGACAGACAAGGGTAAAAGTTAATGCCCCTTCCACTACTACGGGGGCATAAAAAGTGAAATAGAATGCTTTTTGTAGAACTTTTTGAAATAGACACCAAAATTGGATAAAATTAGGAATTTTTATTTAATTTAACAAAATTTGCTTGATTTCAAACAAAAAAAGAAATTGGAAATAAAGAGAACATTTTCTGACAAACTAGATATGCAAGTCAAATGTTGAAAATTTTTTAACAAAAATAGGTTCAATGTTTGGGATTTATTGAATTTACTCCTTGCAGAATGATGTTTGAAGGAATACATATATGATACATGTTCATTTCATTTAAGATTATTTTCTCAATTTATGGGTATTAAATTCAATATATAAGTAAATTTTGACATAAATTGTGGCCAAATTAAAACTTCTCCTTTGATTATGAATATTAGTTTAATTAGTGAAACATTTCAACTTTGTAATTGTAAAAGCTACTAAGAAGGGGTTGAATAATCAAATAAGATCTGTTCATAAAAAAATCAATGGAAACCAGCTTCATTGTAAAAAATCCCACTAAATGATATTGATTGGGTTTAATCCAAATGTTGCCCCAAAAAACTATAAATAAATCATACTATACATTAAATCTGTTAAACATTACCTCCCTGCAGAGTTTCATAAGGAAACAATGAAATATATTCCATTTAATTAAACTAGGAAGAATTTGGACAGAAATGCTTAGAGAAAATTCACCCAAAAAAAAGTAAAAAGTTTACATTTAAATTAACACATGACAAAGGCAAAATCTCTTTGTTCTTATTGTGCTATAATAATAGGGAGGGATTTTCAAATGTACTCTTATCTTTAGGGGCGGATCCAGGATTTTTCAAAAGCATATGGGCATAATTCCATAAAATTGAATACATCAGAGCGTAGCGAGGTTAAAAACCTTTACATCATTTTAGCCTAACTCATAGCATATTTAATTCAATTAACTAAATCCTTAAATTTGACAGCAATGAATCAAATAACTTGGAATTTTGTAAGATCAATTTACAACTGAGATAGCTGTAAAGTTTTTTCAAAAACCAAGTTGATTTGAAAAAGTTATAGAACTTTTTAAAGTTGACTATCTACATTTTGTCTGACATGAAAATTCCAGCTTTTTTACCTATTGATTAAATCCTTAAATTTGACAGTAATAAAACAAACAACCAAATAACCTGGCATTTTGTAAGATCAATATATAATTAAGATAACTGAAGAGTATTATTAAAATCCAAAATCATTTGAAAAAGTTAAAGAAATTTTTAAAGTTGACTATCTAAATTTTGTCCGACATGAAAGTTCCAGCTTTTTTACCTATTGATTAAATCCTTAAATTTGACAGCAATAATTCAAACTACCAAATAACCTGACATTTTGTAAGATCAATATATAATTGAGATAGCTGAAGAGTATTATGAAAATCCAAGTTGGTTTGAAAAGGTAATAACACTTTTTAAAGTTGATTATCTAAATTTTGTCTATTAATTAAATCCTTTAATTTGACACCAATATACCAAACTACCAAATAACCTGGCATTTTCTCAGATTAGTATTTAATTGAGATAACTGTGGAGTTTATGGAAATCCAAGTTCATTTGAAAAAGTTACAGATATTTTTAAAGTTGACTATCTAAATTTTGTCTGACATGAAATTTCTAGCTTTTTTACCTATTGATTTAATCCTTAAATTTGACAGTAATAAAACAAACAACCAAATAACCTGGCATTTTGTAAGATCAATATATAATTAAGATAACTGAAGAGTATTATTAAAATCCAAAATCATTTGAAAAAGTTAAAGAAATTTTTAAAGTTGACTATCTAAATTTTGTCCGACATGAAAGTTCCAGCTTTTTTACCTTTTGATTAAATCCTTAAATTTGACAGCAATAATTCAAACTACCAAATAACCTGTCATTTTGTAAGATCAATATATAATTGAGATAGCTGAAGAGTATTATGAAAATCCAAGTTGGTTTGAAAAAGTAACAGAACTTTTTAAAGTTGACTATCTAAATTTTGTCCGACATGAAAATTCCAGCTTTTTTACTTATTGATTAAATCCTAACATTTGACAGTAATAAATAAACTACCAAATAACCTGGCATTATGTAAGATCAATATATAATTAAGATAACTGAAGAGTATTATTTAAATCCAAAATCATTTGAAAAAGTTAAAGAAATTTTTAAAGTTGACTATCTAAATTTTGTCCGACATGAAAGTTCCAGCTTTTTTACCTATTGATTAAATCCTTAAATTTGACAGTAATAAAACACACTACCAAATAACCTGGCATTTTGTAAGATCAATATATAATTGAGATAACTGAAGAGTATTATGAAAATCCAAGTTGATTTAAAAAGGTAATTACACTTTTTAAAGTTGATTATCTAAATTTTGTCTATTAATTAAATCCTTTAATTTGACACCAATATACCAAACTACCAAATAACCTGGCATTTTCTAAGATTAGTATTTAATTGAGATAACTGTGGAGTTTTATGGAAATCCAAGTTCATTTGAAAAAGTTACAGATATTTTTAAAGTTGACTATCTAAATTTTGTCTGACATGAAATTTCTAGCTTTTTTACCTATTGATTTAATCCTTAAATTTTACAGTAGTAAAACAAACTACCAAAAAACCTGGCATTTTGTAAGATCAATATATAATTGAGATAGTTGAAGAGTATTATGAAAATCAAAGTTGGTTTGAAAAAGTAACAGAACTTTTTAAAGTTGACTATCTAAATTTTGTCCGACATGAAAATTCCAGCTTTTTTACCTATTGATTAAATCCTTAAATTTGACAGTAATAAAACAAACTACCAAATAACCTTGCATTTTGTAAGATCAATATATAATTGAGATAGCTGAAGAGTATTATGAAAATCCAAGTTGGTTTGAAAAAGTTAAAGAAATTTTTAAAGTTGACTATCTAAATTTTGTCCAACATGAAAGTTCCAGCTTTTTTACCTATTGATTAAATCCTTAAATTTGACAGCAATAATTCAAACTACCAAATAACCTGTCATTTTGTAAGATCAATATATGATTGAGATAGCTGAAGAGTATTATGACAATCCAAGTTGGTTTGAAAAAGTAACAGAACTTTTTAAAGTTGACAATCTAAATTTTGTCCGACATGAAAATTCCAGCTTTTATACTTATTGATTAAATCCTAACATTTGACAGTAATAAATAAACTACCAAATAACCTGGCATTATGTAAGATCAATATATAATTAAGATAACTGAAGAGTATTATTAAAATCCAAAATCATTTGAAAAAGTTAAAGAAATTTTTAAAGTTGACTATCTAAATTTTGTCCAACATGAAAGTTCCAGCTTTTTTACCTATTGATTAAATCCTTAAATTTGACAGCAATAATTCAAACTACCAAATAACCTGTCATTTTGTAAGATCAATATATGATTGAGATAGCTGAAGAGTATTATGACAATCCAAGTTGGTTTGAAAAAGTAACAGAACTTTTTAAAGTTGACTATCTAAATTTTGTCCGACATGAAATTTCTAGCTTTTTTACCTATTGATTAAATCCTTAAATTTGACAGTAATAAAACAAACTACCAAATAACCTAGCATTTTGTAAGATCAATATATAATTGAGATAGCTGAAGAGTATTATGAAAATCCAAGTTGATTTGAAAAAGTAATAACACTTTTTAAAGTTGATTATCTAAATTTTGTCTATTAATTAAATCCTTTAATTTGACACCAATATACCAAACTACCAAATAACCTGGCATTTTTATTAGATTAGTATTTAATTGAGATAACTGTGGAGTTTTATGGAAATCCAAGTTCATTTGAAAAAGTTACAGATATTTTTAAAGTTGACTATCTAAATTTTGTCTGACATGAAATTTCAAGCTTTTTTACCTATTGATTTAATCCTTAAATTTGACAGTAATAAAACAAACTACCAAATAACCTGGCATTTTGTAAGATCAATATATAATTGAGATAGCTGAAGAGTATTATGAAAATCAAAGTTGGTTTGAAAAAGTAATTACACTTTTTAAAGTTGATTATCTAAATTTTGTCTATTAATTAAATCCTTTAATTTGACACCAATATACCAAACTACCAAATAACCTGGCGTTTTCTAAGATTAGTATTTAATTGAGATAACTGTGGAGTTTTATGGAAATCCAAGTTCATTTGAAAAAGTTACAGATATTTTTAAAGTCGACTATCTAATTTTTGTCCGAAATGAAAATTCCAGCTTTTTTACCTATTGACTAAATCCTTAAATTTGACAGTAATAAAACAAACTACCAAAAAACCTGGCATTTTGTAAGATCAATATATAACTGAGATAGTTGAAGAGTATTATGAAAATCAAAGTTGGTTTGAAAAAGTAACAGAACTTTTTAAAGTTGACTATCTAAATTTTGTCCGACATGAAAATTCCAGCTTTTTTACCTATTGATTAAATCCTTAAATTTGACAGTAATAAAACAAACTACAAAATAACCTGGCATTTTGTAAGATCAATATATAATTGAGATAACTGAAGAGTATTATGAAAATCCAAGTTGATTTAAAAAGGTAATAACACTTTTTAAAGTTGATTATCTAAATTTTGTCTATTAATTAAATCCTTTAATTTGACACCAATATACCAAACTACCAAATAACCTGGCATTTTCTAAGATTAGTATTTAATTGAGATAACTGTGGAGTTTATGGAAATCCAAGTTCATTTGAAAAAGTTACAGATATTTTTAAAGTTGACTATCTAAATTTTGTCTGACATGAAATTTCTAGCTTTTTTACCTATTGATTTAATCCTTAAATTTGACAGTAATAAAACAAACAACCAAATAACCTGGCATTTTGTAAGATCAATATATAATTAAGATAACTGAAGAGTATTATTAAAATCCAAAATCATTTGAAAAAGTTAAAGAAATTTTTAAAGTTGACTATCTAAATTTTGTCCGACATAAAAGTTCCAGCTTTTTTACCTATTGATTAAATCCTTAAATTTGACAGCAATAATTCAAACTACCAAATAACCTGTCATTTTGTAAGATCAATATATAATTGAGATAGCTGAAGAGTATTATGAAAATCCAAGTTGGTTTGAAAAAGTAACAGAACTTTTTAAAGTTGACTATCTAAATTTTGTCCGACATGAAAATTCCAGCTTTTATACTTATTGATTAAATCCTAACATTTGACAGTAATAAATAAACTACCAAATAACCTGGCATTATGTAAGATCAATATATAATTAAGATAACTGAAGATTATTATTAAAATCCAAAATCATTTGAAAAAGTTAAAGAAATTTTTAAAGTTGACTATCTAAATTTTGTCCGACATGAAAATTCCAGCTTTTTTACCTATTGATTAAATCCTTAAATTTGACAGTAATAAAACAAACTACCAAAAAACCTGGCATTTTGTAAGATCAATATATAATTGAGATAGTTGAAGAGTATTATGAAAATCAAAGTTGGTTTGAAAAAGTAACAGAACTTTTTAAAGTTGACTATCTAAATTTTGTCCGACATGAAAATTCCAGCTTTTTTACCTATTGATTAAATCCTTAAATTTGACAGTAATAAAACAAACTACCAAATAACCTGGCATTTTGTAAGATCAATATATAATTGAGATAGCTGAAGAGTATTATGAAAATTCAAGTTGGTTTGAAAAAGTAACAGAACTTTTTAAAGGTGACTATCTAAATTTTGTCGGACATGAAAATTCCAGCTTTTTTACTTATTGATTAAATCCTAACATTTGACAGTAATAAACAAACTACCAAATAACCTGGCATTTTGTAAGATCAATATATAATTAAGGTAACTGAAGAGTATTATTAAAATCCAAAATCATTTGAAAAAGTTAAAGAAATTTTTAAAGTTGACTATCTAAATTTTGTCCGACATGAAAGTTCCAGCTTTTTTACCTATTGATTAAATCCTTAAATTTGACAGCAATAATTCAAACTACCAAATAACCTGTCATTTTGTAAGATCAATATATGATTGAGATAGCTGAAGAGTATTATGACAATCCAAGTTGGTTTGAAAAAGTAACAGAACTTTTTAAAGTTGACTATCTAAATTTTGTCGGACTTGAAATTTCTAGCTTTTTTACCTATTGATTAAATCCTTAAATTTGACAGTAATAAAACAAACTACCAAATAACCTGGCATTTTGTAAGATCAATATATAATTGAGATAGCTGAAGAGTATTATGAAAATTCAAAATCATTTGAAAAAGTTACAGAACTTTTTAAAGTTGACTATCTAAATTTTGTCCGAAATGAAAATTACAGCTTTTTTACCTATTGATTAAATCCGTAAATTTGACAGCAATAATTCAAACTACCAAATAACCTGTCATTTTGTAAGATCAATATATAATTGAGATAGTTGAAGAGTATTATGACAATCCAAGTTGGTTTGAAAAAGTAACAGAACTTTTTAATGTTGACTATCTAAATTTTGTCCGACATGAAATTTCTAGCTTTTTTACCTATTGATTAAATCCTTAAATTTGACAGTAATAAAACAAACTACCAAATAACCTGGCATTTTCTAAGATCAATATATAATTGAGATAGCTGAGGAGTATTATGAAAATCCAAAATCATTTGAAAAAGTTAAAGAAATTTTTAAAGTTGACTATCTAAATTTTGTCCGACATGAAATTTCTAGCTTTTTAACCTATTGATTAAATCCTTAAATTTGACAGTAATAAAACAAACTACCAAATAACCTGGCATTTTGTAAGATCAATATTTAATTGAGATAGCTGAAGAGTATTATTAAAATCCAAAATCATTTGAAAAAGTTACAGAACTTTTTAAAGTTGACTATCTAAATTTTGTCCGACATGAAATTTCTAGCTTTTTAACCTATTGATTAAATCCTTAAATTTGACAGTAATAAAACAAACTACCAAATAACCTGGCATTTTGTAAGATCAATATATAATTGAGATAGCTGAAGAGTATTATTAAAATCCAAAATCATTTGAAAAAGTAACAGAACTTTTTAAAGTTGACTATCTAAATTTTGTCCGAAATGAAAATTCCAGCTTTTTTACCTATTGATTAAATCCTTAAATTTGACAGAAATAAAACAAACTACCAAATAACCTGACATTTTGTAAGATCAATATATAATTGAGATAGCTGAAGAGTATTATGAAAATCCAAAATCATTTGAAAAAGTTACAGAAGTTTTTAAAGTTGACTATCTAAATTTTGTCCGAAATGAAAATTACAGCTTTTTTTCCTATTGATTAAATCCTTAAATTTGACAGTAATAAAACAAACTACCAAATAACCTGGCATTTTGTAAGATCAATATATAATTAAGTAACTGAAGAGTATTATGAAAATCCAAGTTGATTTAAAAAGGTAATAACACTTTTTAAAGTTGGTTTTCTAAATTTTGTCCAACATGAAATTTCTAGCTTTTTTACCCATTGATTAAATCCTTAAATTTGACAGTAATAAAACAAACTACCAAATAACTTTGCATTTTGTAAGATCAATATATAATTGAGATAGCTGCAGATTTTTTATGAAAATCCAAGATGATTTGAAAAAAGTTAAAGAAATTTTTAAAGGTGACTTTTGGAATTTAGTTAGGAGTGAAAATTCTAACTTTTATAAATTCTTAAACCTGTGCTTCACCTTAGTGGTTTATCACACTAAGTACCAGTACATTTTATACACGAATATATTCTATAAAATTGAAAACAAATGTTCTCAAAATTGATAAAATATAATATGTGAAACAATAAAAAAAAAACCCAAGTTCTAGCAAAAAAGAAAAGAACAACTCAATGAAAAAGTTACTTCAGTGTTCAATTATAATCAGATAATTTTATCTCAAAAGAATTTTTAGACTGCTAGTATCATCAATTTTTTTTAGACAATTTTGGTTAACCAAAACATATTTAAGGAATGACTGTAATATTTTTTCTGTCTATGAAGAAATAACATAAAAAATGTGGTGCACACTGAATAACCCGTGTAGCTTTCAAAATGTTGTCTCTTATATAATTATGTGGTTTACAAATCAATATCATTTAAGGTATACCATAAAACTAGCTTAATTTTTTTTAATGAAAAAATGACTAAATTGTGCAATCATAACCAAATATTCCAATCTAAAAAGAATTATAAGACTGTAATTATTTGTTTCATTTGAGGAAACTACTATCAATCTAAAAAACAATGAAATAGGAAAATATATACATTTCGACTTATACTTAGTGTATGGTAATCACTATTAATCTAGCACTCACAATTTCTACATCATTTTTGGTAATTAGTCGTTTCATAATAACTGTTGTCTACATATTTCTTTCATGTGTGCTTATATCTATTGAAATTGCTTTATTTAATTTCTGCTATACATAGCATTAATTAAAATCTGCAGAAAAATAATACTTATGATTATTCTCAAATACAAAAAAAACCAACTCTACTTTATATGTATTTCCAATTACATTGTAAACATTCTACATTGATTAGACACAAATATTGCAACCCCTCCAATAGAGACTTTGATCCATTTAACTTAAAAATAAAATGATACAGAAACTGTAAACATATAAAATTTTCAGAAGTGTAGTCAACAAAGATCTACTAGCTTGGATGTTTCCTCTTCAGTATATTTACTATATCCTCTTCTGTAGCAGCACATAATTCACCAGCTTCCTCATGTGCAAAAAAAATAAAAACGCTTCTTCCGGCATGAAAAAAATAATATAATTATCAGCTATTCTGAAAAAGATAATAATATGAAAAATAAAGTGATATATAGACAACTGCCTTGTTTACATGTTTGTAGAAATTCTGTAAAGTTTGTAGTTTAGTACCACTCCATGGTGAATCGTGCAAATTGTGATTCATGGATGGAAAGCATACATATTCTCTTTATATGTTATTACGAATGCATACTTATTTTAAATATACCCACAGTTTACACTTTCCCCAATGGTCATAGAAGATATATTCTCGAGCAATCAGTATGGGAAGAATAAATACTGATTTCATTATGTCAATCAATAGTTAATAAATTCCCAAATTATAAATGTTAATAGTCAGAAGATAGATCTCAAAATTCTGAACATTTCTGCTGCTGTCAGATTTTCTCTATCTAGAGCTGTTTTCAAGATAATAGACAACATTTGCATTTTACCCCATGTTCTACTTTTAAACATGTTGTCTGTGTTGTTTGGCAGGACTCATTTTTTAAAACTAAATACCGTAATAAATATTGAGGCCAAGTTTTAAATTTGGCCCAGTAGTTTCAGAGGAAGCCAGGTGAGCTAATCTTGTGTACAAGATCAAGGCTTTTACAACCCTAGGTTTATTTTACGAAAAGAATTTATAATACAGGATTCACTGACCTGATTCATCATTATCATCTTTATCTTTTGAAGCTTGTTCATGGTTTTCTTTTCCTGCATCTTTGGATTTTCATAGAGGGGCAATTCATACATGAACCTATTTATAAGTGTGCAAAAATATTGGTAAATATTTATAAAACAGAAACAAATCTACTTATCTGTAATGTAATAGCAAAGAACAAAATTATTTTAACCATCTTTCCATTTAGTACATGAATACATGCATGACCAGACACTTCTTCCTCTTAGTATGATGGCTTATTCATATCAGCAAGTAAATTTAGTTGCGACAAGCCTTTAATTTTCTTGTTTAAGTTGTTTTACACTTGTCATTTTGTGGCCTTTTATAGTTTGTTAGCTTTTGCCTCATGTCGAAGGCCATATATATGGTAACTAATATTGTTGCTGACACCAACCACATGTGATCTCACATGGAGAGTAGTCTCATTCGCAATCATACCAATCTTTTTTTTATATTGAAGCACATTTTTTTGGAGTGAATGAGAAGGTTCATAAATTGTCAGCACTAGTTAGTATGACTTTAAATTAACTGTTACAGCATTGGACACATCTTTTTCTTCTAGTAAACAAACAATAACAGATAATGCAGATTCTACATAACTTTAAACTATACAACATGTGAAAAATACTATATATGACAACATGTAATTGCAATAAGTCAATCTTAAATATGTAATTTGATAATTACTTGTATTTCTTGGTTCTGTTTGCTTTCTTCCATTCTGTATTATAATTTGTGTCCAGCTTGGAAAATCAGTCTCTGTTTCCCATACAAAGCATTCTTTTACACATATCATATTGGAATAGTTTAATAGTTTCCTTTGAATTAAAAAAAAAAACAATGTCAAAAGGCCTTGACCTTGATACCAATCTCAGATTCAGATTTTTCATTGGTTTTTAACAATCTGTTTATCAGCATTACAGTATTTATAACAACTATATTCATGGTTGTACAATTTTTAATTGTCTTAGAATTTACATTAGGGTAAATTACATGATTACATTGGTAGCAATGAATTACATTGATTTCCCAGTAAAAAAAAAAACGATAATTTCACACTATTTTATCTTCAAAGTATAATGTTGTCGCTGATGATATGTTTCTAGTTTGAATCTTCATTTGCCCTATATATAAAACATACAATATTATTGTACATTGATTTTTTGTAATGTTCTGTTTGAAATGTGTTGTTGTTATACAGTTATGTTCATTCCATGAAATTGTGTTTTACAGCTGGTGGCATACAAAAGAGGGACGAAAGATACCAGAGGGACAGTCAAACTCATAGATCGAAAACAAACTCACAACGTCATGGCCAAAAATAAAAAGACAAACAGACAAATAATAGTACAGATGACACAACATAGAAAACTAAAGACTAAGCAACACGAACCCCACCAAAAACTGGGGGTGATCTCAGGTGCTCCGGAAGGGTAAGCAGATCCTGCTCCACATGTGGCACCCGTCGAGTTGCTTATGTTATTACAAACCCTGTAAATAGTCTAATTCGGTAAGTCACATTCGTGAAAAGGGAAGGGTATTGTAGTTACGACATAAGGAACATATCCGATATCATCTGTGAAACGGTTATTCCATAACGATCAACCAACTCGTGATGGCGTCCGTAAAATTTACGAAGGGATGACTTCAACTTCACCATTTGGAACTCTTGGTTTAATAGCTTCCTTGTGAGCAGCAATCCTCTATCAAGGAAATCAGGATAGGAAACACAAGCCCGGTAATATCGTATCAATTGGGAGATATATACTCCGTATGCAGGCGCTGCTGGAATGTTGCTACATAGAAATGGAAAGTTCACAATTGGGAAGCTGAAATCATCTCTTTTGTCGTAAAGTTTTGTTTTCAACCGACCCTCATTGTCAATTTCACATTTATCAATGGTGCATTTTACAATTGAATTCCTAATTAACACTCCATGTACGACTACATATACTTGCTTCATAACAAGGGTAATACACCCATTAAACTTATTTCAACTTTTGTATTGGTACATGGTAGTTGAACTATGATATTTGAATATTTCATTTCTAATCATATCTTTGTATTTAATTTGACACTATCATAACAGTTGACAAACTGATTTTAATACTGAAACAAATTATCCAAATTATATCAAGGCTATTTCTTAATTAATAAGTACCTCACAATGACAGCATTTGAAGTACTCAGGCTAATCAGCATCTGCTTTTTCCAAAACAAAATGGATGGACATCATTGTATCACAGGAACAAAACTGCCAATACCATTTCTCATTGTCTTCTTTTTTTTTGAACAAATTTTGTAATCCAGCAATAATGTTGGAAAAGATAAATGATGATGGCCATTTCTGTAAACAAAAAAACACTGAGATTATCCATTATTTTTCAAGACCTACCCTAGGTAGTTGTCATGGACATCTGACCTATATACAGTATAAAAACACCATTTGTCAAGACCAGCCCTCGGTAGTTGTCATGGACATCTGACCTATATACAGTACAAAAACACCATTTATCAAGACCAGCCCTCAGTAGTTGTCATAGACATCTGACCTCCTATATACAGTATAAAAACACCATTTATCTAGACCAGCTCTCGGTAGTTGTCATGGACATCTGACCTATATACAGTATAAAAGCACCATTTATTAAAACCAGCCCTCCATAGTTGTCATGGACATCTGACCTATATACAGTATAAAAACACCATTTATCAAGACCAGCCCACGGTAGTTGTCATGGACATCTGACCTCCTATATACATTATAAAAACAATATTTATCAAGACCATCCCTCGGTAGTTGTCATATTCCAGTGACTTTTCTGTAAAGGCAAATTTTACTCACCTCCCTTGCCTTTCAATTCCCCACTGCAAATATGTTTCTTGTGATAGCATAGAAAAGACTATAGTTTTTTTTAGAGCTATGGAAAATTTTGCTTTGGTTGAATGCAGAGTGCAAGGAGTATCTTAAGACAAAACATATAGCGGTACACAACGACCAATCAGGATTAGGTATAATCTTACTTCTGAATACCATGTTATCTCATTAAATGGCTGCATAGCTGTGTCCATGTAACTCAATTATCTATTGTAACATATATACAACTTTTAAATGTGCCTATTTCAATTGATCATCTGCTTCTGAACTGTTTTGCCATGTTGTGCAGTGCTCGTTGATAAAACTATGTTTCAATCCCGTACATTGCAGTGTTTTTCAATCTCCAACAAAGAAGAGTAAAGAAAGTAGGCATGTTTTATTTTAAGTAGGTGTGTCCAATAACGGCCTTCGCTAGTTAACGATCCTCAATGTTTGTGGTTTAGTAATTTCTAGAAAATCAACGACACTTTGAAATTGAAAAGTGGCGGCCTTTGTATTTTGTAAAGCAGTAAAACAATTTTGCAGAACTGATCAATTATTAATTTACATGCATTTTAAATGCTAGCTTGTACTTCGTATAGACTTATAAAGAGTATATTGTACAATTATGGACAATGAAAACTCCTATTCATGAGAACTAGATTTATTTGAAAAATGTGTCTTGCAATTGGTGTACCCAATTTTAAAAGCAAAATCATGTATTTATTTTCTGAAATTTTTACAGTCCTTTTGAAATAAATAACTTCATATTGTTGTACAAATGTAAATGCATGAACAAAATAAGAAGCCAAAACTGGAAGAACAAGCTAAGAAAAAAACATTTTAAACACCGAGAGCAGTTTCCAACATGATAAATTCCTTACAATGGGAAAGTTTATACAATCATGACAATAGACGAAAAAAAGCTACATTAATTATGCTATACAAAATTAATTGAGGGTTAGTAGAAGTTCCAAAGGACAATTTTACAAAATCTGATAGACGTACTAGGGGGCAACATAAATTTTTGCAAATAGCAACTAATAAAGACTTCTATTTATATATTCTTTTTATCCAAACACTATCTCTGATTGGAATTCACCCCTTGAAGCAATAGGTACATTGTATGTCTGACACTCTGGAATCTTTCAAAAGTAGCATATCCACTCTAACATTTGAAGGACACACAGTCACCAATTTATTAAACTATCAAACTTAAAGCCACTGTACATAATGTATATATGTTATTCTACAGACTATTTTTCGTTACTGTTAATATTACTTTTAATTAAGTCCATATGTACATAGCACACAAGTTACGAGAAGTTTTACACTCCTACCAAGGAGTCTACTCCCGTATTCGGAAGAAGAAGGATAGAAAATGCCTCACATGAAGAAAAATTTGACCTTAGCAGAACCTTAAACACGTTATATTGTGATATCTGTCTTTAACTACTGCCTCTGTGGTGTTGCAGAACTTGGTTGCATCCAGTGCTCAAGTTGTTAGTTTAACCCATGGCAGAACCATGGCAGGGTAAAAACAAAGACTTTAAAATTGATATTTACTGATTCTCTGATTAGCACGCTGTATTAAGAAGCAATAACAAAGACTGATGACATGGTCAGCTGGGATATCGGATTGTTGTGTCCGATAAAATGACATTTCTTACTGTGGAAAAGCATGTTAAGTATTCGGATAATCGTGTCAGTCTAGTCCAAAGCAAGGTTAATATTTATATTATATTAACATCGTCTCGACCTGAGAATGCACTAAATTTGTGGCTGCAATGGACGTTTAACACCCATCCATTATCATCATCAGCAACTGATTTCTACTCAAAAAGTGTGTGTATTGAATATTGTTGCCCAACTTCCAAGTTTTTATAATAATTAACACTTAATTTTGTCCATACTGATTGCCGATTGAGCAAATACATATTGGATACTAACCTACTGTAATCATGGTAATGAAAGCCAAAATGCATATATATGTGTATTACAATTCCCGCCGTTTCTTCTTGTTACCTGTTACCTATTCTGTAAATTCCACCTTTTTCAGATGATCCACTCCAGTGGGAAATCCTCTTGAAGTAAATCAGTAAAACAAAAAAAGTCTTACAGTCCCGGAAAAGACAACGCTCTTTGTACCTTTCTATAAAAGAGCCGTTTTGTGGGCGTTAATTTATGAAAAGAGGCGTGTCTTAAAACCTCATTGTGCTGGTTACCTCATTGTGGTGGTTAACTATTAGATTTGTCGATATAATTTACAGGTAGAAATTACAATGAAGTTGTGCTGAATAGGTTGTTTGTTTTTTTGTGATAAATATGCCCATCATGTTCCTTCGGGTGTTAAGTTGTCCTGTAATTGAATGCTTGAAAAAAATTCTCTCAATACAGTCATCTTACCAAATAACATGAGAAATCTAAAACGTAAACAGAAAGAACAAATAGTTGATAGTCAACCCCAAGTGGAGACAACTCATATTTTCCGCACAGATATCGCCAATCACCAACTGAATAAGTAATTTAACGTAACCAAAAACGGACTGATAGCCAGGTTTAAAGTCTTGAATATGAAAGGGGATTGTCTTTGTTTGAGTACTTAAACAATTCTTAAGCCATTTTTAGATGTCAATTCTTTAAAATTTTAATTCATTGTTTCCGTCTAATTTATTTTTTTACCCATTATTCTCTATTCTTTGCAATGCATGATAACAGAGACATATAAATGTATTACAAAATGTATATGTCTCCAATGATGATGAACATCTCGCTAAGCTCTCATTCTTGTATTTCTAATCATAGCAAAGATATTGTTTTCATTTATATGGGGAAAAACACTCGATACACTCGATAAAGTTTCCATCTAATGTAATTTCATGATGATTTTGAGATATATATTGTCGATTGAGATGAGATTTTTGAAAAAATCATAAAACACGAAAAAAAAGTTACCGCGTGTTTAAAAAACAAACAAACCTAAGACTATTATCACAAAAACAGTACTGTTGCCTAAAGTTAAGATTTGCGAAATTTGTAAAATTCAATGAAATTTTCTGACAACTTTAAAATATCCAATGTGGTATGTTTACCTTTTAAAAGCTCTGATAAATGTTCATTCGTGAAAATTAATAAATTTTTTTTTTCAATCGACGGTATTGTTTCATTTCAAAACCCGAATGACTCAGTCTCGTATTCTTCCTTGACATGCCAAAATATTAAATACAATTAAATTTTGCAGACCTTTAAAGAGCAGTTTTGCAAAATTCTTGTATTATTTATTATTTTTATAATTTTTTTATGGGTCGATTGCTTGAAATAATCAGTGTTGGCCTGTTTTCACAAGTAATTCCTATGTTTGGATAATTGAGATATCCGGCTCGAATAAAATCAAGACATGATCGTTAGCTATGATTTGATTATTAAAGTAATCTGTCCAGAGTAATTGATCAACTCATAAGTATGAGAAGACCTGTCGAACTGATTATTTAGCCCAAAAATTTATATAAAAGACCTGCTTGGTCAAATAGAAGTCACATTCTTTATTAATCTATCAAAGTGAAAATATAAAGCTAGACTTTGTTTTGTAAATCTGAGTAAAATTTCAATTCACCATGGACACGATGAACTACGAGTTTGAGTCCAGCTATTCAATCTCTCCAGCATCAAGCATGTCAATATCAAGATCTGGTAGTTTATCGGAGTATGATTATGAAAATGACGATGTTTTCAAAGCTGCATCACTTGTAGAAAAGATAGACTTTAATAACATTTCTCCAGACACTAAAACAAAAGGACTACCTAAACATGATTTGTCAGGAGCTGAAAATCCCACAAAGAGGAAACGATACAACAAGTCTCGTCGACGTGATAGAAGTCCAGCTCTTGTAGAGAAGTTGAAGAAAACCTTCAGATCAAAAGCTAATGACAGAGAACGTAACCGTATGCATGGACTTAACGATGCTTTGGAGACTCTGCGGTCCATATTGCCCGTCACTCCTGGTGAAAACAAACTCACAAAGATAGAGACACTCCGAATGGCACACAACTATATATGGATGTTATCACAGACCTTAGAAATGGCTGACAAAAATCCACAAGACTATGTTTCCGTGACGGAAAACGAACAAGTGCCTTCAATTGACAACACCACAAATAGTGCTATAACACAGGAATCGTCATTTCAGTGTGAAGTTCCACAATTCACGTATCAGACGTCGTCACCAGTGGCAAGTGTTCAAGAAAACTTTTTTCAAAACTACTTCCAGGCCCAACATCATCATGACATGTATGCTGTAACACTTAGTCCAGATACCCAGTATGTTCCCCTAAATGGAGATACATCTGTCAGATTTTCAGAGTCATTTTCGCCTATTTCTTCATAATTTTCGCCAGTTTTTGCCACTCACCAAATTATACCAACAGGACATATTGCGAAAAACGTGGAGTATCCGTCTCTTGGATTTACAAGTTATGGACAATCATTTAATTGGAATTCTATGTATCAAAGACCACAGCCTGGAAGTCCCACGGAATACTCCGACACTTCTGACGGGTTTGCTTATGAGATGTTTCCTTGAAATTTACTCTGAAATGTACATCTAACAAATAGTGCTATATTGCGTTAAGACAATTTTGTATCTAATAACATGTGATATGTGTGTGTTTCCTAATCATTGAATAAATTATTCTAATTTTGTATATTATGGATATTATTTCATTTTTGGCCGAAAAGTTATAAAATTGCTAATCAGTTTATTAATTCAACTTTACATATCTTATCCCAGGCATCATTTTTATCGTGTTCGTTATAAAAGTTATATAAAGTATGATTTTGAAATACAAACTTCTACTCAGTGACTGTTACACCCGACAAAAACAAATGTAAGACTATACCAACCAACGGAACGAATGGAAAACAACAGGTTGTCTCATTGGCAATCATACCACATCTTCTTACTTTATATAACACATAAAACTGTTTATTAGAAAAAAAACCAATTGAATTAAAATCAATGATATTTGGGCTTTCTACAACTTCCGAAGCAACTGAACATGTGCTGAAGGTTGTCGGCTCTCCGAACTTTCCCGAAGTCCTGCGTTTAACATTTCAGTATTACCAAGTTTATGGGCTTCGGTCCTTGCTTGGAAGTTGGGCTATATCCTCACCCCTACTCACAACAGAAAATGTGATTAGACCAAATATTTAACATCCACATAACAGTAAACAAGAACAATACATGTACATTCTTCCACAGATGACACTAAGGTACCTTAGAGAACAAAATCGGACCATAATCCATGCAACGAAAAATTTTAATAACAATTATACGTAAAAGAATCAAGTTAAAACCTTTAAAAAAGTTTTTAATGCTGCGCATTATCATATATTTATACGTAATCGATTGTTTTTTTTTTGTTTCCGTGATTTTTGAAGGGAAAAGACAGCTTTCAGTATTTTATTGGTTTAGTATTTTCATTTCCAGATATTTTTAGTTTAATTATTTTTAAGTTTTATTAGTAAAATGAAACACAGTACGACATAACAGAGAACAGACTCTTGAAGAAACATGAGCACCATCTGTTCTGAGGGTTACGAATTAAGGACCGTATAGAGCGAATCTCCTTGGATTAACGCGCGATGTTATTAACATCCCACATTGAAAATAATGTGAAAAACTAATCCTGTGTGATGAAGATTAGGCAAAGGAATTTTTAATTATGTATCAGTTTTGTTTATCAGCGTTTTTTAAACACTATCAGACACGATCCTATAGCAATATATTCGTCGATCTGGCCCGGAATACTCATACCAGAGACATATAATACAAGAAATTTGTATTATATGTCTCTGCTCATTCTTATCCTGATTCTGATCTTCCGTTTAGGTGTCAGACCACCCGGCAATTCACCTACTCCAATTTAAAATCATCCCAATCCCATAAATGGTCTCAAATAAAAGGGTTTTTTTTTTTACCTTAGATACTATTGACCTATACTAAATGAAAAATGTTCATGACCATAACTACATTGTTGATCAATAAATGGCCCATTACTGATAACTGATGAAAAAAGGGGGGAATATTCCTTTTGATTATTTTTCAAACACATGGTAAAAGTTGTGAAGAGTCTTTAAATCAGTAGGAAAAAAGAAAGATCAACAAAAAATATCTTGATATTGAAAGTTTATGTTCCTGTAGTCAGAAATTGAATTCAAGTATTTTCTATTAAATTCATACATTTACAATTCCCTATACGGTTGGTTTTTCATTTGAACAACCCTGACACACCTTATACACACTGTTATACGACAAGAAATGCCTTAAAATATGCATTATCTCTATGATAACTTAATTACAATTAGGCACTTCAGTCGAGAGGTCTTTGACTTTTCTTTTGAAATATAATGTGACATGCAACACAGTGATCTTTCTGATAAGATTTAAGCACGCTCACATACCCCACGTCCCACATTGTCACTGGGCAGACAAACTATCAACAGATTTCTAATTTCAAAGACTTGTAACTCCTACAAAAGTCAACTGATAAAAAATTCTTGTGAGGATATGCACATTTGAATATTATGTCTTTAATTATCTACAAAGTTTCATGAACTTCTGTTACAAGTGTGGTTTCAGAGGAGTTGTGATGACAAGAACAGGACTGAAGGACAGACAAACACTATAACCAACGGAACTTTGTTCTGTGAGGTAAAATAAGATGCAATACAAATTTTTTTTATCAACATATATAAATATAAAACAAAACGAAATTATAATAAAAACAAATTATGTAAAAAAAACCCAAATCATTTCAATAAAAACTATGATGGTTGCGGACCCTTTTGTTGAAATGCCGATGAATATTTTATAAATAGACAATATGTTATTGGCACAAACACATTTACAATAAATGGTAATGACCGAAGGGATAAACATGGTAGTAAAATGCAAACAATTATGTGAATATACAATACATGTATAATAAAAAATCTATTGCAATAGATTACTTCTCACATTAATATTGAAACAATTCATTACGAAAGAGGAAGATAGTTTTAGTGCCATGTAAGATTTATTATTAAGTATAAGCTTTATTTTAAATTTATTCATTTATCGCACAAAAGGGTTATACTTTTTTAGTAATTTTGGAGATTTTGAATTCAAAAGTCTCTCTGATACTTGAGTACCCTCTACAGTGTAGTAGCATGTGCTGTTCATTTTCAATTTCACCACTTTTGCAGATTTCAAAGTATGACACAGGCATGAGATAACTATAACAATACTTTAACTAGGAGCAAGTTTAAATTAAGGTTGACTGCACAATTCAATAGTTCTTATATATATATATATATATATATATATATAAGTCTAAATTGAAAACAACGTTCAAACCTATGATTGCGTTGGATAAAAACCACAATTTTTATACGTGTGCATGCAAAACAAATTTCTTGGTAGAGGGGTCTAAATACAGCACAAACAACATTTTCCAAAAGACCAAAAAAGAGAAAAAGTATATTTTAACAAAACGCATTTGACTAACAGGTCGAACAACAAATGTTCTTAAACCCTGCTGACTGCCATTGGCGATTGCCAAATAAACGGATCACCGATGTAATAAATGGATCTTAATTTTAAATTAAATACTTAACAGAAAACAATAAACTTGCGGAAAAGATGATATACCACAAACAAAAGGTGCAAAGGTTATATATATATATATATAAGTCTAGAGATTTGCACAACGATACTAATATAAGATGGTATTATACGAAGATGTTGTTAATAAATAGTGTTGACAAATATTTTGGCTTAACAAATAGCCTTCTTCAGTGTAAGAAGGCTATTTGTTAAGCCTAAATATTTGTCAACACGATTTATTAACAACATCTTCGTATAATACCATCTTATATTAGTATCGTTGTGCAAATCTCTAGACTTATATAATTTTTTTCCTTATCTGCACATTATCGTCTATTCTAGACGATCTGGTACATAGTAAATTTGCTGGTTGGTCCTTTTTATAGACTTCTATATATATATATATATCTTTCTTTAAACAAGTTAAACAATCACCTCTTCATTTTATTTATTAATGACATTATGTTGCTTACCAATGTAAATGATGTCAGACCTTGACATTTGCAATCAAGATCATTTTTAGAATATTTTTTGTGTCAGTCTGTATTTTAAAGAGTTCTGGAAGAACTGAAGAAATAAATAAACTGAAGAAACTATACCATGGAATGTATACTGCTGCAAAACTGGATACATGGTAAGCGGTTGGGAACCAACAATTATTATAACCCGGTTGGGAACCAACAACTATTATAACCGCCTAGTACCAACATGAAGGGGAGTTATAATTTTCAGTCATTTAATAAAACATCTCCACCTATTTTTATTTATAAAAGGCAGAAAAAAAACAAGCATTCTGTGAGTATTGCCTGGCAATACATAGTCCCCTACCGGTTAAAAATTCATTGTACTGGAATAAAATGCTAACTTGATCTATAACTTGTCATGGTGTAAACTTTATACCAAATATCAAGTCAATATCTTCATGCATGACGAAAAAAAAATGTGGAAAATTGATGATTTGAGTGAATTTTCTAAGTCCAAGGACCACAACTCTGCACAAAATCATCAGACCGGAACAAATTTCGAATTTGATCTGTAACTTGTCATGCTCAAACTATATACCAATCATGAAATCAATATCTTCAAGCATGACAAAAAAAAGTGTGGAAAACTGATTATTTGAGTGAATTTTCTAAGTTCAAGGACCATAACTCTGCACAAAATCGTCAGACTGGAACAAAATTCGAACTTGATCTGTAACTTGTCATGATTAAACAATACATCAAATATCAAATCAATATCTTCAAGCATGAAGAAAAAAAGTGTGGAAAACTGATTTGCCGGACTGACGGATAGACAGACAGACAGACGGAATGCAAACCTAAAGTCCACTTCGACTTCGTCAATAGGGGACTAAAAAAGAATTACCTTAAATCATGTCAGTTGTGCCCCGAAAAAATAATGTTGGTAGGAAGGTTAAATAATTTTATTTTAAAAATACTTACATAAACTACATAGGGAACTGTTCTGGACTGAAATGACTTTAATGGAACTAAACAATCAAATTGCTTGTCAAGTTGTGATCACTGAAGTGTAAAGATTGCTTTCATTTTGAAATTTTGTGAATTTAAAAAAAAAATCATTGAATTGTATTTTGCTATGCAAGTAAAAAATTGGAGTTATCTTCCTTTGTTCATGATTGTACATTTGTAGTTGAACCTATTATTTATAACAGATTCATACAGTGAATTTTTAATAAAAATATGTTTTCTTGACAAGTATGGTAATTGAAACACACATCATATTGTAACCTTAATATCAAAGTATAACATTTAATTAATAAATTGCATGGCATTGATTGGATATGATCAGATAGTGCTATCAAAGGTAGTCATCAACCTTGGAAGATATAGATATCAAGTCAGTACCATAGGGTTTATTACCCCAAAAATGTCACTTAAATGTGTTAACTACCGTAACTACGTAGACAGAACTCTATATTTGGTCTTACAAACTTTCCTTAATTCAGGATTAATGCCATCTATAATTCAATATTTTATTTAATAAATATGATTAAATCAATGAAAGAAATAAGACCACAGGCTAATCATTTCCATGCATACTTGCTGTTGCTCATTTGGTGAACATTAATTCCCTTTGACATACAATCGGTACAAAAATAAATTTTCAGATCTTTGTTATCAATATCCATAGAGAGCGCCTGCAAATTACTTTTTTCACTGGACTCTTTTTGGCATGCGTCACACTTGTATACTTTGCCGGACTTTTCAACATGTTCATTGTCGGCATGTTTTTTCATATGTTTCCGTAGCAACCCATGCTGAGTAAAAACTTTAGAGCAAAGTCCACATTTATAAAGTGTTTCATTACAATGTTTGTTAGTCATGTGCTTTTTTAGCATGAAAATATAATGGAAACTTTTATCACAAATACTGCAGTTGAAAGGTTTATTGCGATGTCTTCTCTTGTGTACATCTAAGCCATTTTTTGTATGAAAGGATCTCCAACACTGATCACATTTATGAAGTTTAATATCTGCATGCATTTTATGCTTCTCAAGCAACATTTTCTCGTCGAAGTCTGCTCCACATTCAGTGCATATATATGGTTTGACGCCTTCATTAGTATGGCAGCTGATATGACATTCAACAGAAGCTTGATCGCTAAATTCTTTATAACAAACACCACATTTATAAGGTTTTCCACCGTTATATTTATACACACATTTATGTATTTTTCCAGTGTGTGATGTTACTTGAACTTGAAAGTCAGAACTCTGACCTGTCCCTTCCTCACACATTTTAGAGTTGAGAGTTATTTTTGGTAAAGGTTCATCTTCAAGTCCATTGTGTTCTTCATTCATGTTGTGTAAAATAAATTACTGCGACTGACTGGAAAATACGATAAAAATATTCCTCTTCAACAAGTTTATACCAGAATGTCAAGGTTACATACATTTGCTGTCATGGAGACTGGACTTAGTGAGACTGATATCACGAAAACTTCATTCTTTTACACAGCAGAATTAAAATGTGCTGTAAAATCAAACAAAATATAAATGAGAATTTAATAATAAATGTGCTTTTCTTTAATAAATAAATGAATAATGCTATAGATGAGGGTCTGAAATCACTCTGAATGGGGTTTACAAATTAGAGATTGTGGGCAAATATATAGTCTGAGATAACGAGCCAAAAAATTAAGAATAGAGAAAAATGGATTCAAGAGGTTAAAAAATACAGAAACACAGACCCTGTCGTAGTCAGACCCGTTTTCAAACTTTGAACATATTTTTTTTTGCCAGCAAAATAGAAAATATGGTATTGTGCCGGCTCTAGCTAAACGGAAGCTAATTTTGCCAGTTAAAAAACAATTTTGTGAGATTTTATTCTTATGCATACATGTAGCATTAGACTGTGACTGATTTTGGAAGTAATTTCAACTACATGTTTTGATATGATTTTATTGCTATAAATGGATGCTCAATACTTTTATTTCCATTTTCACTTGGATTCATAAATGTTTATAAATGATTTTATGTATCTCAAATATTGTTACTGTATCTTATAATTATTTAACTATACAAGTAATAATTTGATTCTTTTATGTTGACAATGCACATTTTTGCAGTACTTTTCAAGAGTAAATATTAAAATTCTCTGTTTAAGAACTGGCAAAATAACAAATTCACTATATCATGTATATTGCTGTCACTGGCAAATTAGCCATTGCTGTAGAAATATGCTATTTTGCAGGTTAAAATTAAGATATTTAATCAGAGTCAGAAGAAGAGCATATTTTCTATTGCCACTGCATTTGTTCATTTTATTTTAACAAAGATTGTTATACATAGGTTTTTGACCTGTTGATACAATTTATAATTTATTTTTGTTATTTAATGTTTACTTATTCAGTGTTATATCTAGTCTCACTATTTTTAATATATACCACCTTTGATAAGTGTTTAGTATGACAATAAATTTTCACTTTTGTTCTCGTACTAGGAACAACAAAATTATTTCTGTACTCCACGTATACCTTACAACAAAATTATTTTTATTTACGTGTGTACGTTATTTTATTTGGCGGCATTTTGTCCAAGGTTATGGTTGTCTTTCTGATATTGTTAAATATCTAACCCCTTGTTTTATTAATTTTGTATTTACATTGTGTCATAGATCAAATTTATTCGTTCAATGTATGTTCACTTGTTTTTGTTAATATATCTTTTGACTGAGTTAAGCCATTTTAATTGATATTTTATAGTGTGTCTTTCGATGTTGTGATGTTACACTATTGTTTCAGGTAGTGTGAAGGTTGGCGCCTATTAAAACATTTAAACCCGCTGCATTTCAGGCCTCTACAATAACTTTTTTTTCAACTTGTCCAATAGGACAAGTACATACCAAAACTTACTTATCCGAATGGAATTGTAACTTGTCTGAAAAAAATCCTAATATCAACCTTTTTTGCATTTTAATTTGATTCACCAAACAAAATGAATTAAAACAAAAGAACAGAATTTGATTTATATCTCTTGAAATCCTTTTCAAAAATATGAGTCAGGAACAACTGAATCTAGTCATGTCACGGGACTTAGGTTCTAGTTTTCATCAATGCCAAAGTCTCATCAGACTCAGCACATGAGGCACCGTCAGGTAGGCCTGTCAGCCTACACCGTCATTGTTTTGTCTACATATGATCAAATATGATTCTAAGAATTTTATGGTCAATAATTTAATAATTTCTTCATTTTTATTTAAAAAATATTTTTGTGAGAAAAAAAATTATGGTACTTTAATATTATAAAGCAACAGAATAAGGTAGGGAAACGAGGTACTGGTTTGTCTTGGTCCCGAAATGTCTCCTATGGTGCCAAACTGTCTATTAAACATGTCTATTAAAAATGTCTCCTGCCAAACTATCTATTAAACATGGAGCCAATCGTTTTCGTGCTGGTGCCGAACTGTCTTGTAACTTTACCTTATCTACAAAGTGCATCGCTGATTCCGATCAGTAAGACTGGTTTCCGAGAATAGTATGCGTTTTATCTGTAAAGAACTATCTAACAAAGAACCAGTTTTAAATTATCGACTGCAAGTAAACATGTATTTGTTTTTATCTTCTTTTCTTGTTTTTTTGTTTATAATTACTTTGATCATCAAATTTGGATTTAATTTATTTTCTGAAGAATAATTTTACTTGTCCAGTCGGACAAGCTTACTATGGTTTTTACTTGTCCGACCTTTTTTTCCTCTGGTACCGGACAATCGGACAAGCGTTATTGTCGAGCCCTGCATTTGTTTGCACCAGTCCTAAGTCAGGAACCTGATGTTCAGTGGTTGTCGTTTGTTGATTTGGTTCATAAGTGTTTCTCGTTTCTCGTTTTTTATATAGATTAGACCGTTGGTTTTCCTGTTTGAATGGTTTTACACTAGTCATTTTTGGGGCCCTTTATAGCTTGCTGTTCAGTGTGAGCCAAGGCTCCTTGTTGAAGGCCTTTTTTGACCTATAATGGTTTACTTTTGCAGATTGTGACTTGGATGGAGAGTTGTCTCATTGGCACTCATACCACATCTTCTTATATCTATTTGATGATTTATATCTGGGAATAATAAACTCAATATATTTTGTTCCAGTTTATATCAAAGTCAGAACCACCAGAATCAGAAACAATTTAAAAAAAAATTAAATAGTGCAAGTGCCTCACGATGTATTTTAAAACAACTCCCATAACGTAACGGTTCAAGACGTTGAGACATTGTCATACCTGCTTTCCATAGTTTCTTGAAAAGTGGCCATAAATAAAATCATTATAGTAATCATGCGTTACATCGACTCTGTAAGAAATCTATAATGCAATTGTTTTACTTCATATGAAAAATGAAAACTTACATTCTTCATTCTATAAATAATGATAATATAAATATTGTTAACTGTAACATCATCCAACAGCTTTCCGCTTTGAGAAATACAACCACAACCAAAGGGAGGATATCCAGTCTTCTTAATTTGTACGACAAGCAATTTGTGATATTATATACGAGATATGAAATACGAAATATTTTTTATTAAAGAAAGATCAATTATGAACATAAATATAAATAGCATAGATAAAACAAAGAATAACATTTAAACAGGCTAACTAAAATTAATACTACACAAGTATCAAAATATTATGTGTTCCAAGGGGAGTAACTCTAGTATAAAATAAGATAAGTAATTTATAAATAGCAAAAAAAAAATTTCACACTTTTATTCTAAGTAAAAAACACATGTTAATGTACTTAGCTATACTTTTGCATACATCAGTGTCTTCATTACTTAACAACCACATAAACTGGGCATTAATATTTGTAGTATTAGTAATGTTTTTATTTAAACAGTTGCATGTAGACTAACTCCTTCCTTAAATGAGAAAATTTTGGACAGTTTAATAAAAAATGTAACTCATCTTCCACCAAATTTATATTACAGTAAAATCTTACAAATCCTGTTATCTATGGGAGTTTTTGGTATAGTGTATCTACCACTTTCAATATGAAGTTTATGACTGCTGGTTCTGAACCTTGTCATACTTACTCTCAGTATCATTATCATTATTTACAACAGATAAATATTTTTCAAATTTAGAAATATTCTTAAATAATCTATATGTTCTCAATTTATCACTAGTTTGAAGTTGATGAGACCACTGTTTTTCAAATTTACACTGAAGACACTTTCTTACTACTAACAAAAAATTATTTTTAACAGATTTTGGATCCTTATAAAAGTGTGACAATCCACATTCATTCAAAATACATTTAATACAACTAAGCCAACATTGTTGGTTATTATCTATCATAGTAATATGTTCAGCTAATGCTTCTGACAGTTAAGCATCTTTAGGTTTATCATTATATAATCTAATCCAGTACTTAACCATTGACATAATAATATCAATATACAATGGAAAACGGCCTAGCTCACCATACAATGCCAGTTTACATGTTTTTCTATTTACTTTCAGCAGATATCTGCACATATTGAGATTTATCTTTTCAATTGGTACAGTATTAAAAATCTGGTCGAATATATTTTCACTGTTATATTTATTACATTTTCTGGTGTCAAATATGCCCAGAATTTCAGAAGCATACAGTACAACTGGTTTCACAGTATGATCAAATATAAATGTAAAATTTTGAATGTCACAAGGAGTATTTTTAAATATATTAGTCAATTTAGGTCATTGAGGGCACTTTTGAAACTCCCATTCAAACTAATTAGAGCATCCAAATATCTATATTGATAACCAGACTCAATACTCTTGTCGTTTTTAAAAAAACTTTCTAGATATCATCCGTCCACTTTTATTAAATATCATCACTTTAGATTTATTTTAATTTATTTCAAGCCCCCAATTTTCACAATAGTTATGGACCTTGTTATATATGTTCAAATCAATTTAACTCAACACGCATTAACGTAAAAAGGTGTACCTGACCTCCTCTTCAATTTTGATCAGATTTTTGTCAATTGTTTGGATTAAAAAAAAAATGTTGCCGGGGGTAGAGATGCAAATAAAAGCTTTAAAAATCATTCTTTTATTTCTGTATGGTTTTTTTTTGGTGGAATTTAAAATTATGCTTAAGCATAAACATGCAGTTCAAAATGTATTTGCACCTACGATAATCTATTGTTTCGTGAAAATGTGTCTTCAATTTAAAAGTATACAGATATCTAGAAGCTCCATGCTTTAATTTGAGTATAAACTAGGCACGTACAAATGTATATAAGTTGCAAAAATCCTAAATTATGCACATACATACTTTTAAAGGCCATATAAACTTAGGTAAACAATTCAAATATACCAACTTGACTCTTGACCATTTCTTTCCATTTCTTTTGTTTAAATTACACTGAATATCAGCCCTGTATATAAGTTATAGTCCGTTTCCTCACGAACACGATAATTCGTACCTTTGTCATCTTGAAAATCAACTAAGTGGTACTTTTTTATTTTCCAAATTAGGTATACAAAAAAAAGGGGGGGGGACATACAAACAAATACGGTCCTTCACATTATAAAATATTATTTACATAAGGGAGCTACCATTTGATTTTTATGGGGAGAGGGGGGGGGGGGGGGGGCTAGGATGAAAAAATCTATTTTTCACTCTATTCGGTCTTGCCTTTTTTATTAGTTTATCCTGACTTTATTTTACATATATTGTCATCCTGCCTTTTTTTTGCCAAGTTGCTCATCCTGCCCTTTTTTTACTCAAAACTTTTTTTTTCAAATTTCATCTAGCCCCCCCTTTCCCACCATAAAATTCAAATGGCAGCTCCCTAATACTCATTAAATTTACATACAAAGTCACGCGCACAGCTTATTATATGTAAACAAGCAGAACATTGAGATATTGCTCACTAATGATAGTATCATACCCCGCTATAAGTATTTCGTAAACAGGAATGAATTTGAAAACGCATTACATGATGAAGCATGTTATCATGAAGCCTGAAGCAAATTTCAGGAAGCCTTATTTGTAGACAATAGTTCCGTAGCAAAATCCAACATCAATTCCATAAATGGCCAGTATATATTTGTGAGAATATTATGTACATATACGGTAAACAGGAAGTAGATGAGCGATGAATCTGAAACCGATCCATACAGTATATATCGCATGCCAACAACGAAGAAACTTGATAACAAATTTCAGGAATCTAGCTATTATTTGTAGTTTCCTACAGAAAAAGCGACGAAAATTCCATATATGATATAAAAAGAAGATGTGGTATGATTGCCAATGAGACAACTCTCCACAATAGACCAAATGACACAGAAATTAACAAGTATAGGTCACCGTACGGCCTTCAACAATGAGCAAAGCCCATACCGCATAGTCAGTTATAAAAGGAACCGAAATGACAAATGTAAAACAATCCAAACGAGAAAACTAACGGCCTAATTTATGTACAAAATAATGAACGAAAAACAAATATGAAACGAAGCAACAAACGACAACCACTGAATTACCGGTTCCTGACTTGGGACAGGCACATACAGAATGTGGCGGGGTTAAACTAGTTTGAAGGCGCCAACCCTCCCCAACCTGGGACAGTGGTGTAACAGTACAACATAGGAACAAACTATAAAAATCAGTTGAAAAGACTTAAATCATCAGATGGATACAAATAGAAATACATCCAACAAAAACACAAGGTGGACGTGGTCGGGTACTTGTACATCTAAAAAAAAAAAACCCCACTTATCACAGATCTGACAGCTAGTTCAAAGCCAATAACAACTAATAAAAAAAAATCATGCATCTAAGACTAAATTATCAATCAGTACACATCAACATCCAATGGATTTAGTGTAAAGACGTCATAAACAGTCAGAGAAGAACATGACCTTGTGCAATGCCAAATACAGGTATCGACAGACTGTAGAGCCATGATCGAATGTGCATATGTATATAACAATAATATTTAGTTTGATTTTAATTTATGACAATTTCATTACGAGGATACAGGTATTCAGTTAACAGGAAGTTGATGTGTGATGAATCTGAAACCGTGTCACATGTATAGCATGATTACATGAAGCTCAATAACAAATTTCGTAAAGCTGTTATTTAGTTCCCTAGAGAAATGGGACGATATTTCACACATGGCCATTAATATATATATATATAAATATTCGGTAAACAGGAAGTTGATGAGTTATGAATTTGAAACCGCGTCACACAGAAGAGCATGATGATAAAAAGCCTGGTAACCAATTACAGGAAGCTATTTTATGTAGTTCATGAAAAAAATGCGAAAGACGGACATACGGAAATACGGCCGGAAATTCGGATGGACAAACATACAGGGGTCAAACAGGCTGCTACTCCAGAGATGAGGCAAATTGTCCTCTGCTTCTTTTTTAGACTTATTATTATTATTATTTTTCTTGTAAATGCCAAGAGAAGAAAGATTATGCAAAAACTGCAAACAAATTGAAGATGAAATTAATTTCTTTTTATATTGTGATATTAACAGTTATATTAGAAAAGTTATTTTGATTTTTTGATAAATAAGAATATGCACTTTACAGATTTAAATGATATAGATAAAAATGTATGGTATAATGGCAATACAGATTTGAATTGAATTGAATTGAAAATTTTTACATTTACTGAAAATTTATATATTTGGTTGCTTAGCTGCAACATTTACCAAAGGACGATGCTCTACGATTGCGGACATAAAAGCTCTCGCAAATCTCATCGTACTTGACTCAAGAGAAACAAGCATAAAGAAACAAATGATCAATATTATTCACAGCAATTAAATAGCAGTAATAGTTATGGGTCATTCTGGAAAGGTTAATAAAAGTGATGAGTACATGTAAGTCTTATAGAAAAATTGCAACTTTAATGGAAACTCTAACTTCAGTAATACACGAAAATACATTTTAACATAAATTTTATTAGTTTAATTTCTCATAGAGTAATATTATAATAATGTCATTTAAGATACATTTCACACAAGTCTGTTTTCTTCTTAAGCCATGGCGTTGTCAGTTTATTTTCGACTTATGAGTTTGAATGTCCCTTTGGTATCCTTCGCCTCTCTTTTAACAACAATGACATACATAGTTATAAGAATGACATTTCAGCTATAAATTCAGTTATTTAAAAACTAAAACAAAAGAATTTTAAAAAAGAGTCTGAGAAAACAGAGCTTGATATAAAACTTGCTTATCAAATAACTGTTAGAAATTTCTTAATATAATTTACTTTAGAAAATCATAACATACGGATTGGTAACTCCAAGGACGTACAAAATAAATGAGATACTTTGTCTTGTAAAATTGAAATTTGAATATCATGAAATATTTAGGATTATATATAATCAAGAAAATCAGTACTCGTCTATTGTTCTTTATTCAATGACAAAGTTTACGAAATTTAGAACAAACATACCAAAATAACGTTAAAATATGCACGAAGGACTTAAAAATCACATT